TTCAGACATGCACGTATAGATAGATATCCACACACCCCGCGTGCCCCCTAGGCGCTGATACCTCGAAGGAGGTTAAACCACCTGCCCAAAAAAAACATGGTGCGCTTGCAACTTGGTGCACGTGAAAGAAGTGAAACTTCTTTAGCGATGTGTAATATAGTGGTTTTCTTAATTTTTCATCCTTAAATCAAATTTCTCTTGTAATGGGGAATGTCATGTATAAGAGAAACAACCTAGCTCGCTTTGTCTTTTTCCTCTCTCCACGGTCGAATGGTTCGAGAGACGCTCTATTTTCTCACTCTCATTCTTCCTAAATAGTATCTTTTCTCTCTAGCCGTAACGAATCTGTCGCTAGTTAAATTGTATTCATAGCGTGATTAAACAAGTTTCACTTCAATAAAAAAATATAGATGAAAATAGGAAGTACACGCATTTCGATATTGGCTAAATGTATTTTATTCACCGGTAACTTATTCAGTGTTCGTCGCGCACTCCACGAGACGAGAGATCTAAATACCTTAAACAGAAATACTCATGTTAAACATCATTAGCTAACGTACACAGAATGACATCAAATTCTGCCGCAAATCAGTCGTGCGTTTCGGTTTGAAGGTTTCGATAGAGGTTATACAGGGAATTTGATCTCGTGTCTCAAGGATTCGGTAACTGCACACCATCGGGGGGCACGTTAGCTATATCACTGGTGTATGCAATAAACAGACTTTTAATGGGTAATGAATACCTACTGTGCTCTTTTACGGCTATGTCTGTATGATCGTTTTTCCTACCTGTGCTGATAGCCTTGAGAGGGTATATCAGCGTTACCCTTATGTGTCTCTCGCAAGCCGGAGTTTTTGCTAGCACTGGCCCTAGCAAGAGCAGTGCTACGCAGAATCTACCAACGGATCGGAAACGCGACCCACTGAGAAGATCCGGCGAGAAACTCAGTGGGCGGCATCATCGTCGTAACGAGGCCAAACAGCCAACGAAGTGGACATACGACCTGGTCGAATTGGCTGGTAGTGACTGGATACGAAAGGCAAGAGACCGAAACCTACTGGTGGTAGGACCTCTTGTGATTGTGAGTCCACACGGGTCGGTACCACCACCCTGCCTATTTCTGCCGTGAAGCAGTAATGCGTTTCGGTTTGAAGAGTGGGGCAGCCGTTGTAACTATACTTGAGACCTTGGAGCTTATGTCTCGAGGTGGGTGGCGCATTTACGATGTAGATGTCTATGGGCTCCAGTAACTACTTAACACAAGGTGGGCTCTGAGCTCGTCCATCCAACTAAGCAATAAAAAATAAAAAAAAGAATGGGGTGCATTCGAAGCAACCTACGCTCAGCTGGGTGGATACGGGTTGAAGAAGAGAATATATCACCATTGTGCTCATTTTCGGCACAAATCAATCACGCGTGTCTGCTTAAATATTGATACGTCGTTCTCCTATTCTAATAAGGTACCAGTGGATGCAGTAATGCGTTAAGCTTCGGAGGGTGGGGCAGTCTTTGTACTGTAATAACGGAGAAAGTAGAACTCATATCTCAAGGTGGGTGGTGGCATTTGCGTCGTAGTTGTCTATGGACTCTGATAACCACTTAACACCAGGTGGGCCGTGAGCTCGTCCACCCATCTAAGCAATAAATAAAAGTACCCGCGTTGGGTTTCATGGGCTTGTCCGCCAATAAAGTGTACAATGAAAAACTTCTTTAAACATTTTTTTATTGCCTTTGTTGGCAGACGAGCATACGGACCAACTGATGGTAAGTGGTCACCGTCGCTCATGGACGTCATTAATACCAGGGGCAGAACCAAGCCGCTGCCTACCATTGAGTACTCTCCGCAAGCCTCGTTTGAAGAAGGACATGTCATATTTACGATAATTCAATTATACCAATCTTTTAGGCTAAATATTGGAAGTGTCGATTTTATGGGAATTATTCTTGAGATCGAATGAGCATTCTGTTTGTAAAACAACCGATGACTGAACAAACACGGGCAGTCGTGCGTAACGAATGTATCAAATGATGAGAACTAATGTGGATGTCGAGATTACACGCGTCTTGTTATAAAACTTGGAACCTAATCCCGAAAGCGATCGATCACTTAAAGCTCTAAAACAAAATTATAAAACAAAATCACCATTGTAAGACGTTATAAATATCACTCATATAATAATTGAATAGCATAAAATGCTTTTATTAACGGTGAGCAGCGGTTTGGCTCTGATCCTGGCATTGCTGGAGTCTATGGGCGACGGTAACCACTACCCATCAGGTGGGCGGTATACTCGACTGTCGCCCTACAAGGGCAACAAAAAAAATTCTACAAAATTGTTTCCTTGTGCAGATTGGTAGGGCGCGTTGTGAAGCCGCAGGGTTAGACATCCTCCGACGAAGCAGTAACTGCTCATGTTTTAAAGGTTGGATCACCGAAGCTACAGGGAAATTGCAATTTGGACCTCATGTCTCAAGTCAGGCTGCGAAGCGACCTCCGATAATTATTGACCAACAGATTGGTTCCGGTCGTTTTCATGCAGAAATATCAAAAACCCTTCACTAGAATAATTGTTCTAACAAAAAATATTCTAACCCGTATTCCTAAATTCTAAGTGGGCTCCGTAAAATGCAATGTTGCTTTTCCAAGTAATCTTTTGTTTAAAAGATTACTCAAAAACAAAGTTAATGATGAGAAACTCTGTGTGTATTGTCAACTATAATTTTTCAATAATCATCATTAGATCATTAGAAGAAATGTAAAGAAAAGACACAAAATTACACAAATTATTCTAAGAACGTAATGACGTCACAGGTCAATGCCTGCTTTTTCGTTTTACGTAAACTGCAGATTCGTTGTATTAAGATTAAAATTATTCTTTACTGTATTCAGATCTGCAACTCGTTTTGGTAATATCACAATGAGAATAAATAAATACATAATGCTATTGGTATTCAAAGTGAAATGTCCGTAACATTCGAACAAACAGAACTGTCCATTCATTAATGTAGATATTTTTTTTATTTTTTTTTATTGCTTAGATGTGTGGACGAGCTCACAAGCCACCTGGTGTTAAGTGGTTACTGGAGCCCATAGACATCTACAACGTAAATGCGCCACACACCTTGAGATATATTCTAAGGTCTCAGTATAGTCAGTTTTCGAAGTAGGTACATATTTAACTTGGCCGTGTAGCAATGCAGTAATAGAAGCTATGAAAATTATTCCACTATAATGCGTCACCGGGATTCGAAAATAAAATCGGAGAAAAAAAAACAAAATACTGCATTATTTTAAAATTAAGAGTAACACAAGAAAAGAATGTTTAAAAACCTTAACACAAATACAGGAGCAAATATCTAGAACTGAAACATGTGTGGAATGACTCATTAAGTACCACAACTTTAAAGCACTCTAAGCTATAGCACGAGATGCCGATAAGAAACATATTTTTATTCTTAGAAGCACAAAGTCGTTTTTCCCTTACGAAGAAAAGCACATATGTGTTTTATTTAAAATGTTTAGTCATCACAGGATATTAAGGTTTTGTGCTACAAATTGTGAATGTATCGAGTGCTCATTGTTCCTTTAATGGATTTTTAGTGTGCGATTGTTCATATATGAGTCGTCTATTATCAAAGGTGGCAATCTGTGCATTTGGACAAAAAAAATTTATTGATATGTCAATACAGATTGATTTGAATATAATCGTCTCCTTCAAAGAATACGGTTCAAAACCTGCATTAAATAAAGGTTAATAGTTAACCTGTTATTTATCTAAGATGTCGTTCCGAAGAGTTTTGTGACTGCCGATGGAATACAAAGTCAATAATTCGTTTTTCTGATTTACCAATCATTGTCCAAAAGTCAGATTGCCGCCTTTGATAATAGTCGACTCATATAGCCCTTTTTGAAATATTCAAACCTTTTTAGTGAGTAGACAGAAATGTATTAATAAATGTATTTCAAAGCCATTGAAATAAGGCAACTTATTCTGATCATTTATTTACCTGTTTCAAAAGATAGGTTATAAGCTAAATAACGTTACCCTAGCTTGAACTCCAGATCGATTTTTTTTGCTTTGATGGGTGGACGATCTCACAGCGCACCTGGTGTTAAGTGGTTACTGGAGCCAATAGACATCTACAACGTAAATGCGCCACCCACCTTGAGATTTAAGTTCTAAGATCTCAAATAGGTATAGTTACAACGACTGCCCCACCATTCAAACCGAAACGCATTACTGCTTCACGGCAGAAATAGGCAGGGTGGTGGTACCTATTCGTGCGGACTCACTAGTGGTCCTACCACCAGTAATTACGCAAAGTGTAATTTTGCGGGTTTGATTTTTATTACACGATGTTATTCCTTCACCGTGGAAGTCAATCGTGAACATTTGTTGAATTCATTAGAAAAATTTGTACCCGCCTGTGATTCGAACACCGGTGCATCGCTCAATACGAATGCACCGAACGTCTTATCCTTTAGGCCACGACGACTTCAAATTTGCACTCTCTCGGAGGAATTACTTCTAAACTTTTTCGAAACCTAATTTACAACAAGGACTATCTTGACCAGAACGAATCATTTTCCCAAACGGGTGTTTTACTTATTCATGGGAAAAACAGACAGGAAAGCGATGCTAAAACCTACGAGCACACAACATTCTCCTCACTAGTAATATTGACGTTTAGAAATGAACTCTTCTCGGAACGCATCGACACAAAAAAAAAATTAAATTCCTGCGTTTGTGGCACATTAAAAGGGTGCTAATGCCGGCATTAAGAAACGTTAGGAAAATATTTGATTTTTTTATAAATGGCAATATGATTATATGTAAGCATATTCCGCATAGAGGTGTTCTAGTTTTAACTTGTAGTTAGCTAAAATTCAAGTGGTTAACGAGAAGTTCATGTATAATCCTTGAAATAAAATAAAAGGTTCGTATTTAATTTTATCCGCTGCATTATATAATATACTAAAAGCATATATTGTTCTACAGAGGGAATGCATCTCCGTTCACATCGGTCAAGCCGGCGTACAGATTGGCAACGCCTGCTGGGAGCTGTACTGCCTCGAGCATGGAATCCAGCCTGATGGTCAGATGCCGTCAGATAAGACCCTCGGCGGTGGAGACGACTCCTTTAACACGTTCTTCAGCGAGACCGGCGCGGGAAAGCACGTGCCACGAGCTGTCTTTGTTGATTTGGAACCAACTGTAGTCGGTAAGCTAGAGATACACTTTAATCTATATTAATATATAAATCTGCAGTGGTTTTTACAGATGTTCCGTTATAACTAGTGAACCGTGCATCCGATTGACTTGAAACTTCGTATCCACGTAGAAAATATATGTACTTAATGGATAGGCTAATATTTATATGAGTGTTGGACTCCCTACACCAGTTGCGGGGGCATTAATAATGAGAATCTTTGTGGGGGTGAGAAATAATAATGCTAATTTTAAATGTCCAGCGAAGCGGACGGGTACAGCTAGTGTTTCTTTAAAATCTTTTTTATGCTTTGGAGCCTCTCAGTCTATGCAGAAACTGTTGCTGAGCTTCTCTATGTGTTTCAATGGCTACGTTCTCACAGAGTTACTAGGATCATATTTGCCACGTGAACTCTCTGATATGAACTCCGTCCAAGGTGTTTTTTTGAGTGTTGAGTGAGAAAAATTGTCGTTAGCACAGTTCGAATTTTTTTTTCTATTCCGTAATAAACACGGCTACACGTGCGGATGATTCAGCAACTTCCTTTAGCATGCTATAAATAAACAATCGCATGGAATCACCGTTGATTTTAGTTTATTCCACAGCCGCAATCCAATCAACAACCGAAGAAATGTTAAAAAGCCTACGAATCTTCTCGCTCAGCGACGATCTCAAACAATTACTGAATACAGTAAGCCGTAACAAAAAAAAAGTGCAACAAAAACCGTGGTTCGAATTAACTATGAAGGTTGTTTAATAACGTCGGGGTAATGAACCCGACACCGCGATGACTAAACTACGGTGCAATCAATGTAATAACAACATTAGATATATACTTGAATAAGCACGTTTACAAACTCTCTTTTTTATGTTTAAAATTAATTTGAAATATCTTTAAAGAAACTACGCTGTTTGCACTTTCAATAAGTTCCTCTCTTGGATACTACATTAGTAGATAGCCGCGAAAGCTTAAAACAACTCTTATTCTTTCTTCAATCTGAAATAAATGAAAGAAACCTTTGTTTAAAAGCTGACGAGATTTATCAACCTGTCGGAACAGCTACGAAAGCTTTTAAAACTCTTTGTTTTATGTTCATGTATTCAATGACTATAATAAATTTTGTTTGTGATTTCTACTAAATGGTAAATGAACAAAAAACGTAATCGACATTCTGTGAACAGTTCAAATTATATTTACGGATTGATAGATACATTGTGTTTTTAAAACAGGAAATGTTCAGATAGACGACATATTATATACATATGTTATGAATGCTGTGTATAAATAGTAAATTGTCACACGTACACACAGCGTACTTTTACAGTAAAGAACCTATTTTACTGGTTTTTTTTTTGGAAGCTTTGTTATATTAATGACTAGCTGACCGGGCAGACTTCGTAGTGCCTCAATCGATAAATAAAAGACCTAAACTTTTGTATAAAATAAACTTAAAATAAACAAAAGGAATCCGTCCGACGGGGGGACACATTGAAGGGAAAACAAAATTGTTATTTATATTTAATTCCGAGCATTTTCATATTTATCTACCTTTTAAACCTTCTCTGGACTTCCACAAATAATTCAAGACCAAAATTAGCCAAATCGGTCCAGCCGTTCTCGAGTATTAGCGAGACTAACGAACAGCAATTCATTTTTATATAATATATAGATTGTCATAGTTCACTTTGAACCAATAATTGTTAAAACTCGAACCATTTCATTGAAAAAAGGTTTCATGCCAATTCTTTTGTAGTGAAAACTAAAAATTAAATTCTGTAGTTAGGTACTATGTCAATTAAAATAAATATTAATTGAATGACTATTATTTAATATTTCTTTATTTTAAAATTTAAAAAAATCTTCATTCGACTTATGAAAACGTGGACCTAAAATATCACAAGTCGTAACACAGGTTTATCTAATGAAATTTCCACAGTAATACAACATGCGTCTGAATGCATGAGTCAAATCTGAAGAGCTATTTTAATATATTATAAAACATATACAGCTGTTAGTCTGACCAGTGCAATTACAATGAAGTGGGAATGCATCTGCTCCAATTAAAATGATGCTTGACGTGTACTGAGAACTAATTTTTATTTGTTGCTACTAGGTATTTGATTGTAATAGTTTAACAAATAAGAACTCACAGATAATGACACACTGAGAAAATTTTCGGCAATGTTATATTATTTTGTACAGTAGGTAAGCTATTCATCAATCAGGAACGATCGCATTTTATTTTCAACTAGCTGACCCGGCAGACTTTGTAGTGCCTCAATCGATAAATAAAAGACCTCAACTTTTGTATAAAATAAACTTAAAACGACGGAGACACATCAAACGGAAAACAAAATTCTTATTTTTATTTAATTCCGAGCATTTTCATATTAATCTACCTTTTAAACCTTCTCTGGACTTCCACAAATAATTCAAGACCAAAATTAGCCAAATCGCTCCAGCCGTTCTCGAGTTTTACCGAGACTAACGAACAGCAATTCATTTTTATATATATAGATATATGTAATGTAGGTGGATCCTCCAGTTTCAAGAGTTTAAGTAACAGCAACAACGGTTTTGTCCTATCTAAAATGGCTACGGTTATTAAATCTAAATGAGTCGATTTCCGCCGTCTGTCGTCAGACGTGAGACCATTGTTTATTTTCGCTTGATTTCTTAATGGAACTTGGAGACAATGGGCAAGGATAAATATATATTTAATACGACCCTTCTTTACTTCATAATTCCATATCTGAGTATGTTGACCATGAGGGCTCGCTCTTCGTAATCTGTTATTGATGTTGTCAACAGTAAGGACTTGGTAGGAAAAATAGTGTGATTTTAGTAATTACATTTTGTTTGAATTGCTTATTTAAATATTATGTCGGACCCAATGTAATGGATCTTGCATTTGCTTTGCGTGAGCTCGGGGGATCAAGAATAATTGTTCGTAAAAGTTTGGTTTATAATCAATAACTTGTTCTTGGAGAGATATGGAAGAGAGACCTTTTAGGAGCTAAAAATTGGATCAAGTAAATGAAAAATGAGATCGTGTTGAGCAACGAAGCGTGGAGAAGGCTTATTTAGGTTTATTTTAATTCGAAATACACTTGCGACATTGAGCGATGAAAGTAAAAGGTATTTCTGATTCACAGACGAGGTTCGTACCGGCACTTACCGTCAACTGTTCCACCCCGAGCAGCTCATCACTGGCAAAGAGGATGCTGCCAATAACTATGCCCGAGGACACTATACCATTGGCAAGGAGATCGTAGACGTAGTTTTGGACAGGATCAGGAAGCTGGCGGACCAATGCACAGGGCTTCAGGTAAGAATAATAGACCTTTTGGTGGCTCATAAGCTTATAGAAGATATGACTATGACCAATGGTAGGTAGCTGGTTACCGTCGCGGTTCATAAGCTTATAGAAGCTATGACCAAATGGTAGCTGGTTACCGTCGCTTCTTCTCTTCTTCTTCGTCGTTTTCTTCATTTCTAAAGGTCGTATCCCTGAAACTTGATCGTGCTCTGTCTCGTGAGCTGTTTAATCTCGTAGCTACCATTAATCCATGGCGATTGTGCCTGAATGCTCTAGAACCCTAACTAATTTTATATAGCTCATGGTAGGCCATCAGATAAATAAAAAACCAGACGTTACTCTTAACGACGAATAAATATCAACTTATAGCTATGAAAATGATGTGTTTTTAAACTGGCTTTGTTTTCTCAAGGGTTTCCTCGTGTTTCACTCGTTCGGAGGTGGAACCGGCTCCGGATTCACATCACTTCTGATGGAGCGTCTCTCCGTTGACTACGGAAAGAAGTCCAAGCTTGAGTTTTCCATCTATCCTGCTCCACAGGTAACTAATTTAAACTTAAAACTCGTAATAATAACTAATTTCTCATAATTAGAATTATTTAGTTAGTACTTCGTTTGTTGACGAAGTTATCATTCAAAGTACGTATTTTTTTCGAAAAGTTGGTACTTACGTGCCAGATTTGAACCCGTCATTTGATGTTTTATCCTTTAGGCCACGACGAATATAAATGTGACAATTTACGCTCAATAACTAATAATATTAGTATTATTTAGAGGATTTATAGTTAATAACTATGTGCTACGTAAATAATGTTTACGTAGTGTATCGATAGGCGGATCTTAAATCATACGTCATAATTTGGAGTTGTTACTCAAATATTGTTATGCATTTTTTCCTAGGTGTCCACAGCGGTAGTGGAACCTTACAACTCGATCCTGACCACCCACACCACCCTCGAGCACTCGGACTGCGCGTTCATGGTGGACAATGAAGCCATCTACGACATCTGCAGACGCAACTTGGACATCGAGAGGCCTACGTACACTAACCTGAATAGACTTATTGGACAGGTGAGCATTGTACACCCGTTGCTTGCGACGAAGGGCTCGACGAGTAAATTAATCCTCAGACACAGCCCACTGAGTTTCTCGCCGGATCTTCTCATATACATATACAAAACTAAACTTTCTTTTCACTGAATGACACACAGGTAAATGATTTCGTCTAAGAAAAATCTTTTTTAAAAGTAAAGAGTTTTAAAGTTTTAAAGGTTTGAAATGATAAAGGTTTTTCTTTATATCTAAATAAATCGTCGAACAGATCGTGTCGTCAATAACCGCTTCGCTTCGCTTCGACGGCGCGCTGAACGTGGACCTGACGGAGTTCCAGACGAACCTGGTGCCGTACCCGCGCATCCACTTCCCGCTCGCCACGTACGCGCCCGTCATCTCCGCGGAGAAGGCCTACCACGAGCAGCTAACGGTCGCCGAGATCACCAACGCGTGCTTCGAGCCCGCCAACCAGGTGCTCTGTCCGCTGACTTTCTCGCCGGATCTTCTCAGCGCGTCACGTTTCCCGTCCGGTGGTAGATTCTGCGAGGCACTGCTCTTGCTAGGGCCAGTGTAAGCAACACTCCGGTTTGAGCCTCGTGAGCTCACCTGCACACTAGAGTGACGCTTGGCATTGCTGAAGTCCATGGGCGACGGTAACCACTCACCATCAGGTGGGTCGTATGCTCGTCTGCCTACAAATACAATAACAAAAGAAGAAAAAAAAGCTGATGATAGAAAAAAAAGTAATTAATGTATATAAAGCAACCGATTTCCAAATATGTTTGATAAAATGAACCACTAAACAAAGTTGTAAGACGCCCTCACAAAAATATTATTCTAAATTACTATACGTTCATTGAATAACTGTTAAGAAAAATATATTGTTTTAAATAATTTTTATAAGTTTGTGGTTGATCTAATTTTTCAGATGGTGAAATGTGACCCGCGTCATGGAAAATACATGGCTTGTTGTATGCTGTACAGGTAGGTTGTTTTTTTTGGAGTTTACTCCTTTAGAATCGATTTACATATATAGGCCCGGGGTATGAAAATTATGGGGACCAAAATCGTACTAGCATGTCACACGAAATGCGTTATGCGCCTGATTGCGCATGTCACACGAAATGCGTTATCGCAGGTGACGCCGGGCTGCTGCGCCGGCAGTCCGCCACAAAGCCTCGTACTGATCGCGCGTTTCTCTCATTATTGTATTTTCATATATTTGTTAGTCGTTTGTTTTGTGTCTCGTTAATTTGTTAATAATCTGTAGTGTATCGTGTTGTCGTAATATAGAACTATTTCTCGTATTGTTTCGTTTAATTTTTTATATCCAGTAAACTCCAGTCGTGCGTCGGAGCGGACACACACACTTTTTTTTTTTAAATCCAACTGTGCAGCTATTTGTCTAACAGATTGACAAGTAAATAGGTTACTTAAAGATACGTTTTGCTCAGATTTTTAATAGTTCTTCTTCGTTAAATAAATACCACAAACAATAAAATACACGTTGATGAAATAAATACTATTATACAATTTTAATAGAATTATCTAAAAAGATTGCGATACAAAAGTACGTACCGTTAAAACATTATGAGAAAAATTATGCCTTGAATTAGAATTCACTGTGAATAAGTTCAGTGATTCTAGGTAGTACGAATGAGCCAGTCAGGTCAGAGGTCAGCTAACAAGAAATACATATATCGCACCCTATCAGCGAAAAAAAAAAAAAAAAAAAGCTTTTGTTAAAATAAGTCGCAAAAAATCATCTGCCGAATTTTAGTCTGGGATTTGTTCTCTAACGGCACCCATGAGGTTTCATTTCAATTATAATATTCCAGAGGAGACGTTGTGCCGAAGGACGTGAATGCGGCTATCGCAACCATCAAAACCAAGAGAACCATCCAGTTCGTGGACTGGTGCCCAACTGGTTTCAAGGTACCTAGTCGATTGGCGTTATCTTGTCAAATATTTAGTTCTATCTACTGATCGCTGTTTGGATTCTTTACCAATATTAATATCTAATACGACAGTAGGACGTTTAATTGGTCTTCATTTCTGTTACGAAGCCATGCATTTAGACTAGGAAGAGTGGGACAGCTGATGTAGACCATTATTTGAGACTCCGACCTCTGTCTTAGCATGTGTGGCTGCATTTATTGTCTCCAAGTTCCAGTTGTTACTTCAAGCGAGCTGGCTCATGACCGCCTGCGCGACGGAGCAATGCAATTAAAATTAATCAAAATAAACGTTACTTCCTTTGTTTCTGGCGCAAAGCGTTCGACTTTGTAAAGAACGGAGACTTCAAGTATTCTTTGGGTTGGGCGGCTATTTATATGTAATTGCGTCTATGAGCTTTCTTAATGAATAAAAAGGAAGTAAATGAGGCCGTCGTAGCAAATGATTGTAAAGGGAAGATAGTCCACCAACCAGGTAGACCGACGAGCCGAATGTTTTTGTGGTCCTTAGAACTTGGGAAGATCTCTTGTAATTGTTAAACGGTGATTTAGATTTTGGTCGATGGATACCGCAACTGAACTTAGGCGCAAACGTATAGGTAACATCGGAGCAGCATTAACTTGAAATCAATTTGTCAATGACACTAACGAATTTGTAAAGGAAGTGTGAAAGTGGCTCCGGTAATAAACAAATTAAAGAGCGGACGGTTAGCGTGGTATGGACATGTGATGCGTAGAGAGATGATGCATGTGATTAGGAGATGTATGGAAATGGTAGTGCAAGGTAGAGGGGGAACAGGTCGACCGAAGAAGACATGGATAGAGTGTGTGAATGACGATATGAGTGAGAGGGGAGTGAGTGTTGAGCTGACGGCTGATAGAAGAGAATGGAAGAGAAAAATTAGCTGTGCCGACCCCACCTAGTGGATAAGGTGGAGAAAAAGAAGAAAACCAAAGAATTTGTATTTCCAAGGTGGGCATCAATTACCAACCCCCAACAGTGGTGCCGGGCGGAGACCTCGCCAAGGTGCAGCGCGCCGTGTGCATGTTGTCCAACACAACCGCCATCGCCGAGGCGTGGGCCAGGTAATATAATTATATTAAGCTTTTGTTGCCGACTATAAAAATAGAACAGCTCTCAATGCTTTAATAAACAAGGATTCCATATGACCACGACTGCTTTGCCAAGAGTAACCGATTATAATGATGAAGATAAACATAAAATAACATAAAACACGAATTAAGACTCTTCGTTCTTGTTGATTCAAAGTTCACTAAAACACATAAATAGAACTTTAGGCATCTTTTTTGTGAGTAGGGTTTTGTTATTGTGTAGATAGGGTCAAGGACTCACGTCTCGTGTGGTGCAAAGTGGTTTTTGGGCTCGAAAATATTACGTGAATACCCTCACGCACTTTGAAACATTAGGTCAAAAACGCAATTCTGTTATATACCTAACTGAAGTTCAACTTCTGAAAACAAAACGCAAAACAGCTTCGCGGTACAAATAAGCAGGGTGGTACCGCGTGTGCTAACAGTGCTCCACCACAGTTAGAGAAGCTGAAATGTGCTGATCTGACCAGCAATCCATCCTTCCTTACGCAACTATGCAAATGTATAGATTTGACGATTTCATTATTATTACACAATGCTGATCCTTCATCGTGCAAGCCGCTCATGATAAGCGGGAAATACGTATTTAATTAGATCTTTTGTTACTTGCATAGGTACACGAGTTTTGCCAATTTACTACCTACCATTCCAAAGACAGAATGACATTAGTTGCTTAAACTGCTATTGCAACAGGACATGAATAATTAATGACTTTCCAACAACGAATTATATTCCAGATTGGACCACAAGTTCGACTTGATGTACGCTAAGCGCGCATTCGTGCACTGGTACGTGGGTGAGGGTATGGAGGAGGGGGAGTTCTCCGAAGCCCGCGAGGACTTGGCAGCTCTAGAGAAGGACTACGAGGAAGTAGGCGTGGACTCCACTGAAGGGGAGTTGGACGAAGAAAATGAATATTAAAGCGGGATGAAGAACAGTCGAAGTGTCCTCGGCCGAAAGGAACCAAATTCATATCGATACTTGAAATCGACTATTTAAATTAACGATTGTGATTTTTTTTCTTTAAAACTCCAAATCGATATGGTTTTATTAAAAATCGAATACGTTTTATGTATCGAATTATCGATTAAAGTTTGGGTATTAACAACATCGCGATCACTAACATATTTTTTTAATCGTTATTTCGGATACCGTCGGCCGTTCTTTAATAATGATCAATTCTACGTAACGTTTTGTCAATTTAAAAACATAAGTTTTAACCGATATTTTTGTATGTAAGTTTGAATGTGTGCGTAACAGTGCAAATATTAAATTATCGAATCATCATCTGGATCTCTGGAGAATTCGGCGTTATTTGCATTTATTAATTTTTACATGTACATTTAAAACGCATCGTGATAATAAAATAATCCTTTACGGAAATTAAGATTAAGATATAACTTGTATTACATTAAGCTAATTTATTTGAAACTTTTTTTTTTTGCTTCTCAAATATATGTAACTGTGTGCGAGATAATTTTGTAATAATGCACAATAAAATTTTACACGAGAATAGTTTTTTTCTTTTTGTGTTTCCGTACATGTTGGCGGACTCACGGCGCATACATTCTTAAGTGACTACCATAACTCCCGGACGACGCGGCAAATGAGCTAGAAGTCACGCCGTTTTTTCTTCCTATCTAAGCGGATGGCCTTGAGAGGACATTTCAGCGTAACCCCTAACAAGTAGGTGAGCTCACGGGGCTCAAATCTGACGACGTTGCTAATACTAACCCTATCACCGGATCGGAAACGCGACCACCTCAGTGGGCTGTGCGCGCCCGTTGCAATAGTGGCTCTCTTATACAACTAGCTGCTCGCCAGCTAGCTGCAGCCAGCGGCCTCGCTCGCGTGCTCAAGGAAAAGTGATGACGTTTTTTTTTTAAGATAAGTGTGGCCTACGTCACTATCCGGACCAAATACTATATACTAGAGGTCCCGCAGTAGTCGAAATTCGACTATAATTAATTGGAATTGTAAGTTTGTACACTATTATAATTGTATTTTATACTTCTATATTCACAAATTTCGCCAAGACTACACTATAAAAAATATTAATAAAGACAAACAATATTTAATCTATTCTCAATTTGACAACAGACGTCAAGAACAAAAGTTTGACAATAAATAGGTAGTATGCATGCGTGTGTGCGTCAAATACATGGTATGTAGTGTGTGTAATGTTTTCTTTATTGATTTAATGTATCTTTTATGCATTATTTTAAAAAAATATTAGCCTTGTGCACTTCTTGCCTATATTCTCTAAAAGTGTGGAAAATTTCATACGCCTCCGTCCGCGCAATTTTCGTAAAAAGGGATACAAAGTTTTTGCTTCACGTATTAATATATAGATTTTGTTAAATCATGTCAATCTGTAGCTTTGTATCGACGCGATAGAAGGACAAACAAACGCACTTTCACATTTATAATATTAATTATGACTATGGATAATTCTAACTGAAATGTAACTGATTAGCGACAAGAACAGTCGGTCCCGTGCACTCAGCCGGGCAGGACGCTCTGACTACTGTGTGCTTAGTGCGAGTGTTTTAACGTTCTCGATAGCGTAAAAGTTAACTCATATTCGTAATTTTTTTTTATTGCTTAGATGGGTGGACGAGCTCACAGCCCACCTGGTGTTAAGTGGTTACTGGAGCCCATAGACATCATAACGTAAATGCGCCACCCACCTTGAGATGTAAGTTCTAAAGTCTCATTATAGTTACAACGGCTGCCCCACCCCTCAAACCGAAACGCATTACTGCTTCACGGCAGAAATAGGCAGGGCGGTGGTACCTACCCGTGCGGACTTACAAGAGGTTCTACCACCAGTAATAATTGATCGTATGCAATTGAAACAGCGCCCCTAGCGGCAAACGTAGGCAAACGTTCCAACTCCATACAAATTTGAGTTAACTTTTACGCTATCGAGAACGTTAAAAAACTCGCAATAAGCATACTGTACTATGTGTCTCGACAGACGAACAAACCGGGTCATCGCGCACAGTAGCGAGTCCCTGGACCGCTGCAATCCCTCTGTTAGCGCCAGATATATTAAAAAAAAGACAACTCCTTTCAATAATTTAATTAAGTAAAATCTTTGTTCCACATTTACACTTACTATACAATACTAGACATTCACTACGTACACTTTCGTAGTGAATTTGTTGTTTCATAAAATATTTAAAGCGCATTAAAATAAATAAAATGTATATTATTTGTATATAATTAAATGCATTTGTCACTTGTAAATTCGGTATATTAATTGAAAATCGTGAAGCAAAAACGATTAGTTTTCACTCCCACTTTCCATATATTAAAAGCAAATAAAATTATAATTTAAGACTTTCACAATTATTTCTCGACTAAAAAAAAGCTTATTTAAAAAAAAATTGTCAAGTTCTCAAATAAATTCGTGTTAAAAGTTCTTTGTTGATTCCCCACTTGTTGTACAGTAAAAGCACCTTATTCGCGCTTCCTTCATTCGCGGATAAAAAAAATGCGACCCAATTCCTATATTCGCGGCTAAAAATTTCTTTATTCGCGGATCTAATAAGTACATACATATTAATAAATGGATTAATAAAAAATGTAAAATAGATCTTATAACAACCTTGAATAAAGTATGTTGTTGATTTGATATGTTGATGATATCGCCGAGTGAGCCGGCTTCACCGCGAACGTTATTTTTGAGAATATGTATAAACAAACAGAATGAAAGAGATCTTATTACACAATGAATAAAGTATCTTTTCAAATAATGCTGCAATTGCAATACAATGCAATTTTCTATGGTAAAAACTAAAAGCCGCTTTGCGTGTTTTATCGTTTCGTCTTTCACATTCGTTACAAAAATAGTGATGTGAGTCTCTGCCGCTCTTTTACTAATTTATAATGTCAACTAAACAAAATGAGAACCGAGTTTCGACACGAAATAAACCTGTCTTGCCGCTTAAGCTGAAAATAGAAGTTTTTTGTCACCTAGGAACGTATACCCTAAAGCCCCCATAAACATTACCCATATGGGTATAATCCCAATGGAAAATAATCCCATAAACATTACCATTCCGTATTCACTGTATTCGCGGCATATTTATGGAACATATACGCCGCGATTAAAGAGGTTTTACTGTATAACTAAATTTATTTAATAGTTTTGTAACAAGGTGTCGAGATTTTTCGACGTTGCACAAAATATATGGCGGCGAGCTCGCGGGGGGAGGGAGGTTGGGGGGGCGCTCGCTAGTTGGACTTGGCTTTGGCGGGGTCGCGCTCGGGCAGCACGCAGTTGCGCGGGAACCAGCCCCGCGGCCCCCGCGCCCCGCCCTCGCCCCCGCCGGCGCCCGCCAGCCGCTCGCCGAACAGCCAGTGGCGGCGGTGGCGCGTGGCCCGCAGCGCGTCGCCCGGCGCCAGCGGCAGGCGCGGCTCGTCCGTGCAGGGCGGCGCCAGCGCGGCGCGGGGGTGCTGCGCCAGCGGACACCAGCGCCCGGAGTAGGCCGCGCGGCACACGTACAGGCGCGCCCGCACGCGCTTGTCCGCCTTCTGCGCCTGCTGCTCGCGCTGCCAGTCAGTGACGGTTATTTTTTATTGCTTAGATGGGTGGACGAGCTCACAGCCAACCTGGTGTTAAGTGGTTACTGGAGCCCCTAGACATCTACAACGTAAATGCGCCGCCCACCTTGAAATATAAGTTCTAAGGTCTCAAGTATAGTTACAACGGCCGCATTTTTTTTATTGCCCTTTTAGGCAGACGATCGCACGGCCCACCCGATAGTGAGTGGTTACCGTCGCCCATGGACTTCAGCAATGCCAGGGGTAGAGCCAAGCCCCTGCCTACAAAGCTGCATTACTGCTTCACTATGTATATATGTTAAATATTAAAAAACTTATTATGTTCACTTTTCCTTACTTGCAAGACTTACCGACAGAAAACAAAATTAGATTTAATATTAATAATGCAATTTATAATGCTTTTGATAATAATAACTGCACCTTGACATCCAAAAAATATGCATTTAAATTAATAGACATAAATAATATAATAAATTTTAGAAATTTAAGGACNAGAATAATTTAAAAAAAAAAAAAAAAAAAACATGCCCGCTGAGTTTCTTGCCAATTCTTCTCAGGACGGAGGCTAGTTCTTGTGAATTGGCGGTAGTTCTTTTGACGTTCAACAAGTATGTACTTTCATTTATGTTGAATAAAAATTTTTTGATTTGATTTGATTTGATTTGATTCACAACAAAAACAGACGGGGTGGTGGTACCTACCCGCGCGGATACACAAGAGATCCTACCACCAGTAAAACCAGTTAAGAGCACTACTGACCTAAGCTATCCACCTACGTACGACGGCACGTCTGATATCAAACTAGGTGTTGCTGCTTCTCTGTAGAAGCTGCTTCTCTGTAGGCCTCGGGGAGCTGTCTCCCCGAGGCCTGGCGAGCACTTACCCATGGACTGTCGACTCATATATTTATTGAACGGCTCTAAAAGCTTATTAAATACTATTGAATTCGCTGCTGCTGTCGCTAGTTCACTGGCTCTCCCCACATGATAACTATTCGCTTTTTACTTCACCAGATAATGGAAGTTTCTACCAATACAATCATCTCTAGATATGCTTTCCTGCGGACGACCCCCAGCCTGCCAGCAGCCCTGGTCCCATACGGTACAGTTATTGCTAAATCTGACCGGGCGCCCTACCACGCTTAATTATAACCTCGTTGACCACTTACAGTCAGATCATACTGGCCACAGCCGTCCTTCAAGGGCCACCGGATTCCATCCCCTCTACTCCGGGACAGCACCGAAGCTATATTCCTCTTCCAGCCCACGTCGTAAGGGAAGACGAACGGAGGCAGACCCTGTTCTTCTCGTCTACCTGCAGCTTTTTCCATGATCCAGTCCTCGATCGTGGTCTGATTACGAAGTATGCCTCGAATCTGAAATGAAAAAATACTGAAGTCATTGTCGATGACCATGAACAACACAACACCAACAGATGAGCCGAATGCTCATGCACCCTCGAAAGTATCTCTTCAAAGGCAGAGAACTACATTAGGACAGCATTTCAATTTGTGAATAAGTCTGGTGTAATTTGAATTTATCTGTTATAGACAAAATTATGTATGCTCATTGATAAGATTATATAATTATTATTTTTTATTGCTTAGATGGATGGACGAGCTCACAGCCCACCTGGTGTTAAGTGGTTACTGGAGCCCATAGATATCTACTACGTAAATGCGCCACCCACCTCGAGATATAAGTTCTAAGATCTCAGTATAGTTACAACGGCTACCCCACCCTTCGAACCGAAACGCACTACTGCTTCACGGCGGAAATAGGCGGGGTGGTGGTACCTACCCGTGCGGACTCCCAAGAGGTCCTACCACCCGTAATTACACAAATTATAATTTTGCGGGTTTGTTTTTTATTACACGATGTTATTCCTTCGCCATGGTATCGCCATCGTGAACATTTGTTGAGTACGTATTTCATTAGAAAAATTGGTACCCGCCTGCGGGATTGGAAAACCGGTGCATCGCTACATACGAATGCACCAGACGTCTTATCCTTTAGGCCACAATGACTTCCAACTAATTAACACTAATAACCTGAGTTAGCATTTTACTTCATAATGGCATATTTCTTCATCTTTTTAATTACATTCATTATATAATAAAGTACCTAGTTAATTATTGTGCTTACATAATTTTTTTACTATATTACAATACCTTCATTTTGGAAGTCTTTGTGAATATATCAGGTACCCTTGAATAAAATACTATACATACAGAACTTTCTCTCTGGCACAATGGTATGTATACCAATACATCAGGCATCTTATTTAGATGTTTGGAAGCTTAAAAATATGTAACTACGTATTTTTAATGTGTATGTATTTATAAATTGTAAATTATACACCTACCTGCAAATAAAGTAATGTACCAACAGCCAGTACTACACCAACAGCCATCCCTATTGAGAGTAGGGTCAGCAGTAAAGTAGTCAAAGTGACGTAGATCATGGGCTCGTCACCGGAGCCATGGTGGATGTACCATATCCGATTTATGGCATGATACATACAAATGGATAATACCTGTTAAGATATTTAATAAACACGAATTACTAAGAACTTTCGAAAGTCCATGGGCAACACTTTGTATTATAAATTAAGGTTAGTCTAACTATTTATTTTAAGTTTATTGAAATCTAGTTTTGTAATTACTTCTATTGCATTGAAAAATGAATGCTATTCTTTAATGAGTGCATAGTTGGGATGAATTGTGCAATTCTTTTGAAGAACAATAATTGTATATCAACATTTTCTAAGTTAATGGAGTGATACTTGATGTGATGGCATGTTAACCACAATGTGATAAAAGTACCTCAAAATAAAATTTACGAAATCCAAGTACTATTAAGTATAATTATAGGAAACCACTTACTACAGAGGCATGGAAGCATCCAAGAACTGCAAACATTAGAAAAGTAGTGAAATACCCATGGTTAGCGTGACCAACGCAACAATTTATCCACGGGCAGTGATGGTCCATCTTCAAAACGCACAAGCCACCTGTACAAATTTTCATAAACCTTGCATTATTATTCCAGATTATCTTTATAGTTTTTTATTAAAAACCAAAAGGAGGCTCGAATCCAATAGAACACATTGTAGCCTGCATGATCATGACCTACAAGTTGACGTCTAATCATTAGAATAACCATTTCAGGAGCTTCACTTATATTGGAAAATCACCTTGTCTCATAATTGACACCAACAAAATCATAACAGTGGGTGAGTTAATAATTTTTTTTTGTGATTTCAATGTCACTTGATTTGTGTATGTTAGAACTTACATTTCCTACAGTGGTGTGACCGTGGAGCCTTGTATCCTTTACAAACTGTGCAAAATTGTAGATATTGGGCATCCTCTTCTTTGTCCTGGAAACATTAAAATGAGTTTGATTAGAACCAACCATGTGCAGAATCTAAATGCAGTAGTAAAACCACTGGAAAGAAGGTAGACTGATTTGTCTGCTCGAAACATCCTACCTGCAGTCTTCAATCTACCTGTGATCATGGCTCTTGTGACACAGGGCGAGAATATTGGAAACTCATTACATGTGAAAATCATGGTAAGAGCACATTACGGAAGTGTCTGTTATATAGATTGCGAAAGTGAAAACAACACCATAAGATTAACAGTCTATACTTACAGGTTGCCATCCCAAAGGCACGAACCCAGGTCCCTCAAGTAATGATTGCAAGAAATAATACAATGTGCCAGCAGCAAATGACAGGAACATTGCTGCATGAAGCGATGCATAGAACGAAGTTTGAGGGGGCCACCACATTCCCAGCATGTGGACCATGGCCCATGTTATTAATTTTATTATACCTGAAAGTTGTGGAGAATTCAAAACATTGACCTTTTGCTATAACATGTGACCATTAAAGGATAGGTTTTAATCAGAAACATGCCACTAGAGTTTTCAATTAAATCTCAGGTTTTATTTTTTTCTACTACTTTTACTAACTCTATTGAGGTAAGATGACATTATTTTTCAGAGAAGTTTTTTGATGTGCTGTCCTCTGAGCAGTAATTAATCTGCATCAGTATCCTCTTCCTTACTAATTTTCGTTCTCCCCTAATTCTTATCACAAATACTAATTGAATGTTGTGAACCCACATGGACCTGTATGCAAGTTTTGCCTATTTTTACAGCGAAATGAAACAATTAAGGTTACGACCTAATGAAGGTAACGGCATCCAGAATATGGTGCACCTAGGATCCAGAAACCGCTAAACATTACCTCATGAACTGTGGGATCATCTGATCTTTGGCTCATTTACGCTATTAAAATGATGTTTGTGACCGGTCAAAGTAGCAGTTTGGTTATTTTCTAACTAAACACGTACAAAATCTATTAAATGTAAAGAAAACAGATTTACGTACCTAAAACCGATATGGGACCCCAGTGCAATAATCTTCGAAACGGAGAGAGAACCATTGTTTTCCAATATGAGTTAGGGTTCGATTAATTTACTTACAGAATGATTAAAAGAGCGGGATTCATTAATAAATCATTTTTGATTTTTTTCTATTTTTACTATGCTTATACGTATACATCATTTAATTTACAGTATATTTGATACAAGAAGTCGAGTTCTAATGATTCTGAATCAGGAAAAATATTGTATTACCACTTTCCACAAAAATAACAACAATAGGTATGTACATACCGTACCTACCTACACTTATGCTACACATAACAATCAACGAAGTATCATACTTCAAGCTGTCAGCTGTCTCAACCCCAATTTTTTTTTAAGGGATTTTATGACCTGGTAACGAAGATCTTTAGGTTAAGTCTTATTTTCATTTTAATGAAAACTTTTTATATATGAAAATTACTGTTATAAAATGAAATGAGATGATATGAAATGATAAGATATGGGATGAAATAAAGTTGATTAATATGAAACATGGCATGAAATGTAATAAAAACGAAATGAATTAAATGAAATGATGTTGTACGGCTATATTTGAGGGGACTGGTTTCTGTAGGTTGAGGGGCTATTTAAAAACACTTTGCTTTATTATAATTATATTGCAAATACTTTGTACACTATTACACCATTATAATATTTTATATTTTTATAAAACTCTTAGATGTTGCTCTGACCGTGTCTAGATGAGAAGTCATTGTCTTCACTGACGAGAAGACAATTATTTGTTTTAAACATATAAAATAATTCCAATATTCGAAATCTGTAACCTTACATGTAAGTATGAATATGAACTTAACTTCAACAAATGAGATGATATGGGATGAAATATAATCTCAGTAAAATGGTGGTCATTTACTAAGACTTTTTCAGTGGACTTTTTGGAGGATCCCGAGAAGTTACATTCAGCGTCTTTGTTTCATTTTCCCACATTTGTGCACTTTCACAGATACTAAACAGTTAATAAACTACCGTTAACATTTAAACCTGAAGAAACACTAAATAGACAAAATAAAACAAATCACACAGCCCCACTCCTCGCGTTCCCGCCAAAATTCCCACAAATTATTAAATTAGATTAATCAAGGATTTTAGGGCAAAAAAAGTCAACCAACAAAGTTTTTCTTTTTTATATTATTACTTCATAGAAAAATCGAATAACATGAAACATAAGATTTTTTTAATAGTTTATGGAGATTATCGTAAATTATTACTAAGTAGTGTTAGGTTTTCTCAACTGTTAGGTTAAAAAGTTTAAATTTCTAAAAATGTACGAATAAGACCCAGATAAAGCCAAGGCGGCGTAGTCCATAAGGCAGTCGCAGCTTTATTTACTCGAAAACCAAAAATTTCATTGTCACTAGTCACATTTTTATAAGTGAAGTTGAGAGTAAAATTTTCGGTAGGCAGCGGCTTGGTTCTACCCCTAGCATTGCTGAACTCCATGGGCAACGGTAACCACTCACCATCAGGTATGCTCGTCTGCCTACAAGGGCAATAAAAAAAAATTACTCGCTTACAAATTCGTTACGGCTAGAGAGAAAAGACACAATTTAAGAAGAGCGAGAGTGAGAAAACAGACAGCACGTCTCGCGAACCACTCGACTCGGCCTCGGCCATTACATGCCTTTTTATTGGTTTCCCATTGCTCCTGTAGATGGCAGTAACTATCTTAAATTTTATTTTTAATGAAGGCTTTAGAAAATAAATATTTTTCTAAATATCATTTAAAATATATATCGTGCAGAGTTCATTTCTCTTAACAAAGCATTACAAGAGAAATTTAATTCAAGGATGAAAAATAAAGAAAACACAATACTACACACCCCAAAAGAAGTTTCATTTTTTTTTTAATTTTTTTTTTATTGCCTTTGTATGCAGACGAGCATACGGCCCACCTGATGGTGAGTGGTTACCGTCGCCCATGGACCTCAGCAATGCCAAGGGCAGAGCTAAGCCGCTGCCTACCGCTTAATACTCTCCACAAGCCTCGTTTGAAGAAAGACATGTCATAGCGCTCGGGAAACACCGTGGAGGGGAGCTCATTCCATAGCCGGATGGTACGTGGCAAAAAAGATCTCTGGAAACGCACTGTGGATGACCGCAGTGGCTCCAGGTAGTATGGATGAACTCTACTACGGTGGCGGGCGGTGCGATGGTAAAAACGAGACGTTGGTATCATCTCGAACAATTCCTCAGAGCACTCCCCATGGAACATGCGGTATATAATACAGAGGGAACTGAAGTCCCTCCGCAGACCCAGAGGCTCCAAACGATCCGTGAGAATGGGATTATCGACAATCCGAACGGCTCTCTTCTGTATGGAGTCAAATGGAAGAAGCTGGTATTTGGGAGCCCCGGCCCAGAGATGGGAGCAGTACTCCACGCGAGGCCGGACTTGTGCTTTATAAAGCAACAGCCTTTGTCCAGGCGTGAAGTACCGCTTCGCTCTGTTGAGGACTCCCAGCATTTTGGACGCCATCTTGGCTTTGCCTTCCAAATGACTCCGAAACTGGACATCGCTCGAACTGTCGACCCCAAGTATCCCGATACTCTCGGAAGGTTTCAGGGATACTCCTTGGAATTGCGGCGCCATGACAAAGGGGTCCTTCTTCGCAGTGAACGCGCAAACTTGTGTCTTTATCGGGTTGAATTGAACCAAGTTCAATTCACCCCATTCGGAGACTCGCCCCAGAGAGTTCTCCACTTCAGACACAAGTTTTGATCGTCTCTCTTGCACCATGCTCCGAGAGAGACTCTGATGGCCGATATATCGCGCATCCCCCATGCTGTCATCCGCATAGCAATGCATGCCATCAATAGACAGCATGTCATTGATATACAGGATGAAAAGCGTGGGGGAGAGCACCGAACCTTGTGGAACGCCAGCGTTAATGGTCATGGTATCAGAGCAGTCACCGTCTACAACGACCGTGATGCTCCGCCCATCCAAGAAGCTAGCGATCCACTTGCAGAGACCCTCGGGGATTCCGTAAGATGGTAACTTCGATAGAAGTGCCCTATGCCAGACCCTGTCGAAGGCCTTCGCGATATCAAGGCTCACAGCAAGAGCCCCGCCCTTGCTCTCCAAGGCTTCAGCCCACCTGTGAGTAAGGTATACAAGAAGATCGCCAGCTGAGCGACCGTGACGGAAACCGTACTGTCGGTCACTGATCAGCTGGCGATCCTCCAGATACTTCAGGAGTTGTATATTTATTATTCGCTCCATCACCTTGGAAAGCAAGGAAGTTATCGCGATAGGCCTATAACTCGATGGGTCCGACCGGTCACCCTTCTTGGGGATAGGGTGGACGTGGGCAGTCTTCCATGAAGACGGAACCCTATTAGTGCAATAAGAGAGGCGATACAAACGCGTTAGCGCAGGCGTCAGCTCAGGGGCGCACGTTTTCAGAACCACTGCAGGGATGCCGTCTGGCCCACTCGACTTATGGACGTCCAGGAGTCGGAGCTCCCGCCTGACTGCACACTGCGTGAAGCAGATCTCAGGCAGGGAGCTATTACACCGGGGGATGTTCGGTGGTGTGGCACCCCCGTCGTCCACGGTCGAGTTCGAGGCGAAGAGTTTGACCAGAAGGTCAGCCTTCTCTTTCGCACTATGGGCCAGACTGTCATCGGACTTGCGTAGTGGTGGGAGACTAGACCTGCAGAAGTTACCTTCTGCAGCCTTAGCGAGCAACCAGAAAGCACGGCTCCCGACGGGATAGCTGTTCAGTCGCTCGCCAATTCTGGCAACGTGCTCTGACTTCGCCTTGGCAATAGCCCTCTTATAGGACCTAGAAGCGGCGTTAAATTTCCGCCTTTCCTCTGAGGTATTAGGATCCCGACGTCTCCTGGCATCATTCCATGCTACGTATGCAGACCGCTTGAGGCGTGCAGCGTCCCGACTGGCATTGTTGTACCAGGGTCCACTGCAACCCCCGACGGGCACCTTGGAAGAAGGAATGAACAATTCCATCCCCCGAAGCACCACGTTTTTAAGCCGGTCCGCACAGACGTCAGGATCACCAGAGAAAAAGCAGAGCCACCCCCATGGGTAGGATGCGTAAAATTTAACTTCTTTCGCGTGCACCAATTTTTTTATTTATATGCATTCGATTTTTTTATTGATCTGTTGGTGCCAACGTCGATTAAATAAAATGTTCAGTTCTCATTTATAAAACATACTCTGCCATTCCTGATCCTGCGCAAAGAATGGAAAGCAGTCGACGTCGCCGCGTCGCCCCAAATACGTCATTTCGGATCCTCCCGATCCACTAACGGTGCTTTTAGGTACCTCAAGCACCGGTCATCGTTCACACGGCCCACTGAGTTTCTCGACGGATCTTCTCAGTGGGTCGCGTTTCCGATCCGATGGTAGATTCTGCGAAGCACGGTTCTTGCTAGGGTTCGTGTTAGCAGCGTCGTCAGGTTTGAGCCCCGTGAGCTCACCTACTAGTAAAGGTTCCGCTGACAAGCCTCTCAAGGCTATCAGCTTAGGTAGGAAAAAAAAGAATACTCTGCCACTGTGAAAATAAATAAAATGATTTCGAGCGGCATGAAAAAAATTTAATCTGAAACTGTACTGAAATAGGATCAAATGAAATGAATTAATGTCAGTGTTCAGCAACTTTCTGCCATTTTCTCACATTTATAAACTTTTACGTGGTAATCGGTAAATAATGACTATGAGAGATCAAGTTTAAGCCTGAACAAGCACTACATAATTTAAAACCATAATACGGATTAATCACAACTTTAGTTTTTGAAAATTTTATCTTATAAAAAAGTGCGAACTTAAAAATGGTAAAAGTAATAATTATAATTTAGTCGACCCGCGAAAAACGAAGGAAATATGTACTAAAACAACAAATTTAAACTTCGCTCCTTGTGTTCCCGCCAAACAAGTCGTTTTTCTTTCGACCGTTAAAATGTTACCTATATTTGCTCTAACTTAGAACAACTTTTTAGCAGAATTTTTTTGTTAACATGTCATCACCATAATTTTAAAAAGTAAATTAAATTGTGAATGTTATGATTTTTTCTTTCTAGCCTGAGTTTTGAGTCTCTACGCATTAAAAAAAATATTTAACTCTATAAAGAGTTTTTACCCTTAATATGTTTCTGAAAATTTCATAGTATTTTAGCTCAAACTATGGCAATGTGTGCTACCACGTCACGCAAGCAGTTGTCGTTGTCACACCGCGATATTTTTGTGGCCGTAGGGTGTGTGCATTCTTTATGTGTGTTG